CTTGTGAGGGGTGAAAGAGGAGTGAGGTGTGAACGTGGGGTGAGGGGTGAGAGTGGAGGTGGTGGGATCTGGTTCGACGGGACATAAGTCCGCCATGTGGGATGTGGAATTACAGATGGCACAAGCCGGGGGCCTGAGTCCGGCGAAGTGGCGACAGAAAAGTTCAGTGTCCATCTGACCCCAGTTCATTCTAATGTTGAACTGCTTGAGATGGGTCGCCGCCTTCGCTGAGACTGACTTGTGGTAGTCATAGAAGGAAGAGCCCCCGTACTTGATGCCTAGATCCACTACCTTGTGGAGATAGAGATCTAGCTCTTCTCTCCTATGGGGATACACCGTGCAAATGACGTCGCGGTATATCCCGAAAGCTATCACAAACTGTGGGATAGACAATTTTTATTAAGCCTGGGATCCCTCGTTTTAAGCACAACAGAGATGTCACCATAATTGTATGCCTTGTTCTCGAGTACATCCTGAGAGGCTATGAGTAAAGACACCAGACACACATCCTTCCCGTCAAGGATATCTTTCCTGATAGAATCTGGGACGGAGTGTGCTGGTGACTCGAAAGGTGTGATGGCTGTGCCAGGTGCTGGAGGGGGGAGTATAGAGGGACATGAAGGTATGGCAGGTACAGCCGTGGTAGAGACTGGGACTACGGTGTTAGTACCTGAGGAGGAGATGGCGCTTTCCACCTTAGACAGCCTGCTATTGAGGGCCTGTAGATTGGCCAAGATATCTGCCAGGGTATCCTGGGTGGCCGTGCTGGTACTTGGTGGTTGTCCTTGAGAGCTAGTTCCCGGCCGAGGCTCGGGGACTTGGTGGGTAAGCAGCCTGTAAAGTTCTGCCTTTCTAGCTGTGGCCGGAAAGGGGATTCCCCTGAGCCTAAGCTCGGCTGTGATTTTGGGAATAGTCCATGCTCTCAAGGACGTGGGGGTTGAAAGAGTGAGTGATTCGCCTGGAGACACGGGTCTGATTGGCGTGAATGGTGCTTCTTCTGTCAGTTCTTCGGTTGGAATTGGTTCTTGGGACATTCTAAAAAGGAATGATTATGTGAAAGATATATTAGAAGGGGAGTGAGGTAAGAAGGGGGGGGGTATGGGGAGTGGTGTGTCTTGAAGAACTGGACTTTAATGCTAGATGCCGAGGCGAAAAACTTAACTATTGAATGACTGGATAGGTGAGGCCCTGCTAATGCCAAGTGGCGATGAGAGGCTCTACCTATGATTTGGCTTATGACGTAGGTGCCACAGACGTGGTGGCGGGATGTTGGCCTCTCGGTGACGATAAGAGAAATCAAAACGTGTGGCCGTGACAGGTGAGGCCCTAACTAGAGCCCTATAGTAAGGCATGCGAGGCTTATAACTATGATTTGGGCGTGGGGCCGTACCTCCGTGTTGAGGTGGGGTGGGGGTGGTAGGCCTCGCGGGATCAGATTTCCTGATAAGGTGGGCTAAGGCATTAGCCTGTGCCGTATAGCCAGTTCGATAGTATGCTAAAGGGTAAAGTTAGAGGACTGGAATGGTGTGTGGATACTAACCTTGACTGGTCGCAAATGGTATCTGGAGCCTCCTGGTAAGTGTAGAGAGTCTTGTCTTAATGTTGTCTTTGAGGAAGAATCCTGGGGGTTTAAGACAGATGTTGATGTGTTTATACGTATCGTGATGTCGTATGAATAGTATAGGGAGAAGGTTTGTTAGGGGCACGACGTGAGATCCTGCATTGAGGGATCTGGGAGGTTTAGGTGTAGGAATGGGATGATTTTTGGATATGATTGAGAAGGCAGAATGAGGCCTTGGGGTAGCGAATGGACGTACTTGAGTAAGGATGTAAGTACCTGAAGGTATGGCTGTGTACCGTGTCAGGATTTGGTGTCTTCTTGAGCCTGGTGGCCGTATGACCGAAAGTCTGTGTAGACAAGTAGTAAAGAGATAACGTATCCTGGGCGTAAGCCTGAGGGAAGGTAGTAATGGAGTTGAGACCGCGTGAGGTCTAGTATTGAAAAGAGAGTGAACTATACCTTTGATTAAAGTACAGAGATTGTTTTAATCGTGGCAGGTTAACTGCGTGGAAACGGTGGAATCTTAGATTAATACAGGATCTAAGGGTTTAACCGAGAGAAATTCCATAGTTAGCAATAGATGTGAAGATAATTGATAAAACCTGATAACTCAAGGTGATAATAAACCATACCTGTTCCTGTAATAAAAGGACCTTGGAATAACAACTTTAATGCAGAAAAGCAAGAGACCGATGCAATCTGTAAAAGCCGAAAAATGTGACAGCGTGATTTATGTGCAAGGAATAGTACGGATTATGTGTAAAGGGTATAACTTGTAAATAGTGTTTAAAAAGACTTATCTGAGTGTTATTAGGAAAGATTGGTATAGCTTGAATTTAGACACGTATGAAGTTATGAGCCGTGATGAACATTATGTATATTACAGAAAAATACTTTAAATGGTTTAACAAGGTAGGAAAACACAGGGCTGGTAGTTAACCATATAATGTAACCGCAAACTGATATGAAGGAATAAATAATAGTAGGACTGTGATTAGAACTTATGCAATCTTAGCTTAAAAGAATAGAAATAACCGAATGTAAATTAGTAAGATGGTGTTCGTGAATTTAACCATACGAGTAGGTTGGTGCTGAAATAACCGAACGGAAAAGTGAATGCAGATAATAATGAGCTTAAACATGAATATTTATTCGGTTGTTTCCGTACGAAAATGCATTAAATGATAGCGAAATGAGCCGAACGTTCGTGCGTTTTTTGGCGCGAATGGAGATATTAACGAACAGCGTGTATTCGTGAAAATGCGAAAAGGAGGGAGCCTACCCCTACGTTTTTAGGCCCGAACGGCGGGGAAAAAGCGAACGCTAATTCCCCCGCCTTGCTTACGTGAACGCGCCGGTCTCGTGACCGGAAGTCGGGTACCTCGACCGGAGAGAAACGGAGTGGAAGGGGCCTCGGACGGACGGAGGATTTGCACAGGGCGTCTGGCTGCTGGAAACAGGTACAGTTCTGGCGGGAAGCTGGACCGGAAGTGCTGGACAATCAGCTGAGCGGCAGCGGTGAGTAGGGGCTGGGAGCTTAAGTAGGGGACTTACTCCTCCCACAAATTCAGGCCTAATGGCCTTTCTACATATAAACAAACAAATTAAGAGAGTACTCAGAGGACTTCTTTCAGGTGAATATTACTGCCTTCATTGAACCAGATTCAGTGTCACAATAACAAGTTCAATGTTTCAATACTATTGTGGACTTGTATCAAGACGTGATAAAAGTCCACTATAGGACGGAAATGTGACACTGAATCTGCTTCAATGGAGGCAGTAATATTCACCTGAAATTAGTCCTCTGAGTGCTCTCTTAATTTGTTTGTTCAGTTATCGCCAGAGCAGCACCCAGGCAAATGCTTTGTTATGAGTAATTGAGTGCCTTATTTACTTGTTTGTGCATATCTATATTTGTATATATATATATATAAAGCAGAGGGTGCACTCATAGGACTTTCAAAAATCGCTCATGTTTAAAGGGACACTATAGTCACCTAGACCACTTCAGCTCAGTGAAGTGGTCTGGGTGCCAGGTCCCTCAGGTTTTAACCCTTCACATGTAAACATAGCAGTTTCAGAGAAACTGCTATGTTTACATAGCAGGGTTAGTCCAACCTCTAGTGGCTGTCTTCCTGACAGCCGCTAGAGGCGCTTCTGTGACGCTGGATGCGAAATTCGCATCCAGCATGCAGAACGTCCATAGGAAAGCATTGAGAAATGCTTTCCTATGGACTGTAAGAATGCGCACCGCTCTTGTCATGCATGGGCATTCCACTCCACTCGGGAGCCTACGTCGGCGGGGGAGGAGAGGTCACCAGTGCCAAGGGAGCCCAGCGCTGGATTAAGGTAAGCTGCTGAGGGGGACCCTGAGGGTGAGGGTCCCCCAAGGATGACATAGTGTCAAGAAAACGGGTTTGCTTTCCTGACACTATAGTGATCCTTTAATGTAGTTAAGAAAAATTACATATGTGTTGCAACCAATTGATGTTTTGACTCATTCAGGTCTTTCTCAAGATTAACAGGTAATATACAAGTGAATCAATAAATACGATAAGTAACAATAAGTGACTTACCAATACAGTGAAGACAGCCCACGGACACACCACATGATGTGGTGATCCATTTGTGAGGACTTGAACACGTGACCAATCCAGTGTCATTGATTGTTAGGTGGTAGAATAAACAAAAACAAAGAGAAGAATTGCACTGCTTATGCACTATCCACATGGAGGAAAAAAATCTGCAAAAAAAAGACAATGGGTCCCAGCACGACCTCAGTGCTGAAATAGTTGAAACTGTGCGAGTGAAATGAAATAATCAACATCAAAGAAGTAAAAGTGACATATATGTGAATCAAGTGTAAATGTAATGGTAGCACACTATGACAGCCCTGGGAGTGCTAATATATAAAACCAATCAGAGGTAAAGTATGTTAAAGACACATAGGACTAAAAGTACAATAAAATGGATAATAGATGCTAAATAGAATTGAGCGGACACCTGGATGTTCGGGTCCGGCGGGTTCGGCCGAACTTTGAAAAAAAGTCCAGGTTCGGGCTTGAACTTGACCCCGAACTTGACTTCGAACCCGAATCCCATTGAAGTCAATGGCGACCCGAACTTTTGGCCACAAAAATGCCTCTAAAAACTCCTGGAAAGGGCTAGAGAGCTGCAAAAGGAAGTAAAATGGGGGTAAGAGTAGGACAAGTGCCCTGCAAACAAACGTAGATAGGGAAATCACTTAAAATAACATAAAAATTTAAAATACAGCTGAGCCATAAAATAGGACTAGATGGAATCTTTGATTTTAGCTTTGGAAGAACATAAATCAAAATCTAAAGCATGGCTGTCAGGAGGATCAACAGAATTATCCATTTGAGAGAGGGTTGGAGTGCAGGGAATTCTCTTTCATTGTTCAAAGTGAGCTCAACTCCTGATGCATGGAGAAAAGGCCTTCACAAGCCTCTGCTAATGTGTACATAGTTTATACTAAATGACCCATAGGTTGAGGAGGCGGTGACCGTGGCGGTGCAGGAGGAAGATGAGGTAGCCAACACTGTTTATATATATATATATATATATATATATATATATATACATATATATATATATATATACACTTTTATATATATATATATATATATATATATATATATTAATTGGGTGGCGACTTTGCATGCGGATGTCACCCATATCAACTTTCGATGCCAGTTTCTGCGCCTACCATGGTGACCACGGGTAATGGGGAATCAGGATTCCATTCCGTACAGGGACCCTGAGAAACGGCTACCACATGCAAGGAAGGCAGCAGGCACGCAAATGACCCACTCCCGAAGCGGGAAGGTAGTGACGACAAATAACAATACAGAACTCTTTAGAGGCCCTGTAATTGTAATGAGTCCACTTGAAATCCTTTAACTCTGATCAATTGGAGGGCAATCTGGTGCAGAGCCACTGACCCAAGCATGCTGCAGCTGAAACTCCACTATCGCCTGCTGCTGCTGCTCGCAAAGTCTCATGAGGTGGTTAGCGGGAAGGCCGAAGTTACGCTGCAGCACAGACAGGCGAGCAGCAGCAGGGTGACAACGCCAAAAGCGCGCACAGCCGCTACAGTGAAACTACAGTGAATGTCACATCCTGACAGTGTCTGGGTCCTGGTCACTGAACTGCCCACCTCACTGTGAAACTACGAATGGATCGTTAAATCTGGTTCCGAACCTGAACTTTGCAGTTGGGGTTCGCTTAAGTCTATTATGGATCCTTTGATCGCTACATGTATTACTTGGATAACTGTGGGAATTCTAGAGATAATACATGCCGACGAGCGCTAGGGGGCGGCTCCGCATTTGCACCCTGCTCCCTCTAATGCTGTGCTGGTGCCTCTGTGCCTCAGCGCCTCTTCCTCCAAACTGCACACGTCACTTGCATGACCTTGATTGCATGTGGGGTCTAGGACCTCCTCATCCTCCACATCATCTTCCACCCACTTCTCAACCCTGCCCTCCTTGCCGGTATGCACACCAGCATGTAACGTCTGCAAAGGACATATGGAAATTGTTTTAGAATTTCCTCCAGGCAACAGTTTTCCCTATAAACTGACCTCTCAGTTTGACTTGTGAGGTTATTGCCCCAGAATTACAATATTGTTGAAGTACCTCTTAGCTATTGATCACTGGTTTAAATATAGCAGCCTGTTATCTGGTAGTTTCTAGTGTAGAAAATATCAATCTGTTTTCTATCACTTAGATCTGTATAACAAATGTTGTAGGTGTGAAACAATATTACAAGTGACCGATGTAGTAAATTTGAATCAAAGTTACGCTTCTATTTAGTGCCAAAAAAAATAAATTAAAAAATGAACTTTTTAAAACTCCAATTCTCACTTTAGTATATTCAGCATTGTTTATTTCTTCTTGGATTACACGTAGTCAGTATCTGGTATTTAGAAATGAACAATATGTATCACCTGTCTTATTTAATGCACCCCTTCAGGACTGAATTGTGAGATAAGATTTGCCTATGGGGTTATTCACTATAATCCATGGCACCTTACTTAATGGAGTAAAACCACCTGGGTGCATATGGGGTAAAACCAACTGGGTGTATATGGGGCAAAACCACCCGGGTACATATGGGGCTAGTTAAACAGCAAAATCTAGAAATAGTTCATGCAATTTAGCAATGTCTTGATTTTGTCATTAAGGCCCCGAACAGACCTGAAGTTTACCCAGATTTCAGCCGGACTGAATGCTACCAGGTGGCTGAAGTCCAAATCAAATGCTGTGAATATAGGCCCAGATTTAAAGAAAATCTAAACTGTTTGCCCACTGGCAGCGCTAACAGCAATTGGGCAAATAGTTAAAAATCTTTGGCTGTACAAGGAAGAATTACGTAGTGACCACATATTAAGAAGTAACATATTAAAAAAAGAAAGACAGAATTTAAAAATTCCTGTGAGGGTCAATAAGACCCCCATACTACTATAACGGAGGTATTTTACCTCCCTATGCTCCCACCATATCTACTAATATTGTTAAAACTAGCAACTGGGTGGCTATTATTGCCCAGGCACTAGAAAAGATCTTATCCCATGTGGATGGGGCCTGTGCTATAACATAGGATAGGGATTGGGTGGGGGGATAATTAGAAAAGTAATGGGGAGTACACTGTTCACTCCTCTGATAGTGGACCCTGGTAGTGGGGAAAGTTCTTATATAGGCTTTCCCATGCTATGTCAGCAATGGGAAAATTTACTACGCTTTGCAATGTGAGTAAAAGCACTCTGATTGTTTGGCAGTACATACAAGTTAATGATAATTTGTGAATGAACATGTTGATGAAGGCATTCAGTTTATATTCGGTCACTATGTGGTCATTGATAAACGTCCAATTCCTATGCTTTATATTGGTTCGTGTGCGAATATTATTAATTAACGTTTCTTAACAAATAATACAGAATTAGTCAGACAAACGCATTTGGCTTTAGTAAGTCTGCAAATTGCTAATGCATTCATAATTCAGTCATTTTCACTGGAGTTGGTTCATTCGGATATTAACTTGTAAGGTTATTATTAGATTCCCCAATATTCTTGTTAAAAATCCAACCTGCTCCTCCAACTTCTGCAGCCCTGCAACCTCAGATGCTTGCCTCTATCTTTTTCGGTTCCTTAGACAATTTGCCAGCCTTGTTCAGACTTCAGGTGCCTTGGTGCTTCAGATAATTCCATTTTATTTCCCCATAGTCTACTATCGAAAATGAGACAAGAAAATGCTTGGCAGAAATGTTCTGCAGGCTGGCTTGTTAAAGGAGGGAAGGTTTAACTCACATATTGAAAGATATATTCTTAATTAACCCTCAGTTGAGATTTGCAAGATCCTACAGGAATGATAAGTTTGAATTTTGTTGATTAGTTGAGTGATTGATTTCTCTGAGATTTAAAGGGACTGTAAACCCTATTTCAAAGGATGAAAGGACATAATAATGTGATTCAATACAAAAAAATGTCACTCATGCCAAATCTTGTTACATTTACTGTAATGTTTCCTCAGAAGCTCTGATGATATTGGAAGCTACTTTTTGGCACTTCAATGACACAAGAGACAAACATGATTATTTACTAAAGTGTGAATTTTTGGGAAATCAGACTGACTTCAAGGTGAATTTCAATTTCTAGGTTAATAGTTGAACTGAAAACATAGCTGACTTGGATAATTTTTTCCAGTTAAGCTATTAGGGCCTAAAACAAGAGATTCACTTTGAATGATTGACTATTAACACTTAATGAATAATTCTCTTAGTGAGTAATGGTTTAGTTAAACCATTGAGTTAATGATCATATTGTCACAGACTCCGACATCTCTGCCGAGCCCCAGGTAAGTAGACAATATCTCAAACATAGCAGCCACACCGTCAGAGATATTGTCAACTTACATGGGTCTCAGTAGGCAGCTACCTGGTCTCCCTCCGTTCCGGTCCCAAGCGGGTGCGACGTTATTAGTAACGCCGGCCGCTGTGGACCGGACTTTTATAAAGAACTTACCTTCGCCCATATCAAATATGCATGCGTCATAGACACGCACACATGTTTTGGAGTCAGAGGGCAGAGACAGCCAATTACAAACTAAGGAGGGTTATTTAAACCCAAATTACCTTTTGTTCAGTGCCCTGTCATGGTTTCCCTTAGTTGGTTATCCGAGAGTGTGTTCCTGTTCGTTTCAATTTTGGTTATTGACTTTGACTTTGTTTTGACTTTGTTTTGACTTCCCTGAATTCTGGTATCCTTGACATTTGGCTTTCCCTCATTGTTGTGTCTCATTCTAGGTGTGATATAATTCTGTGTGCTTGATCAACTAGTAATCTTGACACATATACAGGAAACAAGAGAAAAACTCAAAATGGATCTGTTTATTAATAGAATTAGACATGAGATACATTGTCATGTGTAAAAAATCTAACTATTTGAAAATATATTCTCCATGGAAAACAGTATTTCATATTGATATTATAGATAGATATGTATTTCATAGATCACACACACAAATTCTATTCTTAAAAAGGTCTGACAGAAGAGGCTTGAATATAGTTATAACAATCCCATGTAATGGTTTTATTATACTGTTACTATACCCCTTATGAAAAGTTGCCGAACTGAAATGTTGGCAGCTTTGATTTCCTGAATTTGGGATTGAACTTTTTTATTACTTGTGTATGAACTAAGCACTTTTTCAGGAGATAATTTACCAGAAATGCAAAAACTAACTTTGATGTCGGCTATTTCAAAGTCATCCATTTTGGTAATTTTTTTTAAAATTTGCTATTGTTCATTCTTTAAGGCCTGTTGTAGGCCTATGTTATATCATTTGTTGTTTAATCAGTTAAGGGCTGGCAACTTTTAGCATGGAGGGAAAGTGCAAATTAATTTTCCCCATATGGAACTCACAGATGCAAACAAATTTGTATACAGTATCAATGGAAAGAGTTTCTAGTTTCATACTTTGGTACGTCACCCATTTATTTATTCAGCCTGGGTCAAGAGATCATAACCTTATATTCTGGCTGACTAATAGTCGTAGATAGATCTGTATGTGAGACAGAATCAAAGACTGAGAGGAAATAGTTACTGTCAGGATTACAGAATGATCCAGCACGTAGAATTGTGTAACACAGAGGACTGATAGGAAACATGTTCCGGACCTTAGAATGGCTGGACTAACGTACCGAAGAATAGTCAGGAATAGCCGAGGTCAAGGGATACAGAAAGAGACACAACGATAAGGAAAAGCCAGGAGTCAGGGATGCCAGAAAACAGGGAAGTCAAAAACAATGCCAAAGTCAAATAACCAGAATAACCAGAATCAATAACGCGCTCTCGGACAACCACAAGGGAAACCATGACAGGGCACTGAGCAGGATGAGAACTGGGTCTAAATACCCCTCCTCTAGATCTGATAGGTTGTAACTGGCTTTTGACCCCAAAGGCAGTTACCAGGTTCCCATTTGCACAATTGCTGCTCAGCATTAACCCTTCTGTGGATTTGGTTGCTGCTTGGCACAACTTTTCCTGTGTGGACAGTAAATGCCATTAACCACATTTTTATAAGCGGATGAATACGTGACAGTTACACAGTATTTAAAAAAGGCGGGAAAATTCTATCTGAAATCAAAACAATGACTAATATAATGAAATGCTCCTTTTTTCACCAACTTATTGTGTGCCAAAACATTTTAGTATTCCTTAATAGGAAGCACAAGATGTTTGACGGAACAAACAATAGTATGTTGCTTAGCCTGCAGTTTAGCACTGTTAGATTTATCTGATAAACCTACAATTCTGAAGTAAAAACCTA